CTTGCCCGCTAATTTAGACAGTAATATTTTATCCGTTCATACTTCAGCCCTTCGGTATTTTTCATCGTATTCGGGGCCGTCAGCTCTGGCGGCCTCGAATCGAACTTCCGTGGGAAGCTTGTCTGTCCGACACAGAGAGCACTTCCATGCCCTACCACTCGTTCGATATCGAACGTGCGCGCCATGTGCACGATTGACACACGTGGCACATTCTACCCAGTCAGCGAACCCCGACTCAAAGGGATAATAGTCTACCTCATAAACCTGTGAAATACACGTGAAAAAATAACAGAAGTGTCCGGAAGATTGGCGAAAAATTTCGACTGCGAAGGAGGGGAATCGGTGAGTTTGAAAGAAGCAGTGGAAGAGGAAGGGGTCGCCATTGTTCCAGGAAAAGGAGAGAGAGAGAGAGCACGTGTCCACTCAATCCTTTAGAAGGATCTCCACTTTACCGTAAGTTCGTTCTTTGGCTATGGATCGTGCCACGATGTCACTTCCTCGCTCCTAGGTACCTTGTCGGGACGATGCAATCGTGTCAGTCCGTCCGCGTTGCCGTGTTTCTCGTGTAATACACATTTCGTTAAAAGTGAACCTTTTGATTGTTCACTTTTTGTAACAAAGCCGGAATTCATGTTGGAGCGACATAAATAAGAATAAATTGAAACAGTCATTGGTAAGTGTTGCTAAGTGGGCAGTGATATGGGTCAACTGCCATCGCTTGGAGTACTGGACCCATCACACACACACACACACACACACACATACCCCACCCAACCCCAACCATCCCAGCACAAATACGGTGTTCGAAGTTCTCCCTTGTAGGCTATCTTCACGGTATCCTTTTGGAGCGGCCTTCGCTCGGCAACTCAGAATAAACTCCAGGTTTGTTCGAGTGCTCAGGCCCATCAACATGCAAATTGTGCGCTTGATTATGGGCACTGCATAGTTCGTAGTGAGCGGGATACGTACTTCAGCCCCCTCCCCCCCCCCCAGTGCGCCGATTCGCGAGCCTGACCGCATTATATGAGATTGCAACTGGATTTAATCACCCATGGCATACCCGTTGTCGACCCCTTTTAGCAAAAAGGTTCGGGCATCGGACATTATATAAGATTGCAACAGCGGGTTCTTAGGGATGGTGGCGAGCGGAGGCCGTTGTTGTTATGTTGTTTTCTGTTGTTTCGTGTGTGTACGTACATGTTTTATTTTTAATACTATATTCGTAGTGCGCCGGTTCGTGTCCCGGTTCGCTAGCCGGACCGCATTATATGAGATTGCAATTGGATTCGATCACCCATGACATACCCATTGTCGACCCGTTTTAGCAAAAAGTTTTGGGCATCACACATTATATGAGATTGCGACGGCGGATTCTTAGGGATGGTGGCGAGCGGAGGCAGAAACACAGAGGGGGAGAGAGAGAGAGAGAGAGAGAGAGAGAGAGAGACAGAGAGAGAGAGAGAAAGAGAGAGAGAGAGAGAGAGAGAGAAAGAGAGAGAGAAAGAGACTCTAGTTGAACAGCGAGTCAATTCGCAGTTATCGAGGTTGATGTCAGGTTGTGATCTGTTTGGTGACTGACCACCTTTAAGAAGTGGCAGACCACCTTCAGGAAGTGTCAACCTTCACGAAGTGCCAAATAGTCTGCGGTCAGAGGACTCCAGTGCTAAAAACATTCTTAGGGGACCTTGCGGTCGTGTTCAGAACATATTGGCGTAGCACTAGATGCTCACCAAGCAGTTTTGGATGTCGGTTATATCGACACATCATAAGATGCCTTACAAGCAAGCAGCGACTGCTTGCAGGACCTTCTACCCGGTATGGATCTTTGAGAGCAGACTTTCGCACTCCACCGTGAGATCCACATCGGATAGGTGGACCTGCCATCCTACCGCTGTTAGTTGTAGTCATCTTGAGGGAGTCGATGAGGTGAGGACCCAGCAAAGAAAACTCTTAGGGGACTTTGTTTTCGTGTTTTCGGAACTTATCGGCGTAGCACTAGATGTTCACCAAGCAGTTCCGGATGTCGGTTACATCGACAAATCATAAGATGCCTTACGAGCGAGCAGCGGCTGCTTGCAGGACCTTCTACCCGGTGTGGATCTTTGAGCAGAGTTTCGCACTCCACCGTGAGATCCACATCGGATAGGTGGACCTGCCATCCAACCGCTGTTAGCTGTAGTCATCTTGAGGGAGTCGACGAGGTGAGGACCCGACAAAGAACACTGTGAGGGGACTTTTCTGCCGTGTTTGGAACATATTGGCGTAGCACTACATGCTCACTAAGCAGTTTTGGATGTCGGTCATATCGACACATCATAAGATGCCTTACAAGCAAGCAGCTGCTGCTTGCAGGACCTTCTACCCGGTATGGATCTTAGAGGGCAGAGTTTCGCACTCCACCGTGAGACCCACATCGGATAGGAGGACCTTCCATCCTATCGCTGTTGGCTGTAGTCCTCTTGAGAGTCGATGAGGTGAAGACCCGACAAAAAACACTCTTAAGGGACTTTGCTGCCGTGTTTGGAACTTATTGGTGTAGCACTAGATGCTCACCAAGCGGTTCTGCATGTTGGTTATATCGACACATCGTATGATGCCTTCCAAGCAAATTGTGGTCGGATCCCATCCCCCATCCCCGACGTGGATCTATGAGAGCAGATTTGACGCAATCCACCGTTAGATCCACATCGGAGAGACGGAGCGGTCATCCTACCGCTGTTCAGTGTAGTCATCATGTGGGAGTCGACATCGCAGGAACCCAACGATGTTCCAACTGGGACGTGCTCTTGTTTCGTGATGTGCAGGTGCTTACCTACGGTGCGTTCGATCCCCTCCTCGACGTGAAGCAAAGTGCGAGGGAATTGCTCAGGGCTCACACCAGAAGTGCGATTGAACTCGCACTTTGATGGAGAAGCAACTGCGCAGTCCATCAGCGCGACGATTTAATATGGACATTGGCTTGTCATTTGTATATTCCAGGTTGAAAACGCCATCAAATCTTTCTGTGTAGAAGCTTCATATCCATTCATACAAGTATCTATTGTCATCGCAAACATCGAGATAAAAACATCTCAAGTCAAATTGCAAAGCACACAGAGACATTGCAAATATCGAGGTGAAAACATCTCAAGTATCCTAGTGTGTTTTTCCAAAGGTGAAGTCTCACAGCACACGAACAGTTTACAAAAACCATTCAATGCAAAAAATCATTCAATGGCAAATTGCAAAGCACACAGAGACGTTTCAAAAAATCATTGAACGCAAAATATCATACAATCCCACATTGCAAAGTGCACGGAGGCTTTCCAAAAATCACAAAGTACATGGAGCCAAAGTGCGAATATGTTCACATTTCTCATATGGAAGTTGGAACCAAAAGTTCAATCATAAATGTACGACATCCAAAGTGCGAATATGTTTGCATTTCTCATACAGAAACAACAACCAGCATTCCGTTGAGAGCACGAGATGTATTCCGGGGACAACAAAATTGGTAATCATTTAGTGCACCGTTGAATCCGTAAAACAATTCCAAGCTCACGTACATTCTGGAGACAATCGGTTTCCGAATGGAGAACAAGTTTGCAACTGTCATAACGAACCAACAAACAACATTTAGACAAGCAGAGGGGGTGAACCGTAAAACGGGGCGGCACACACAGAACAAGGGCGAGCCAGAACATATGAAAGCTGGGTGGTCGGGGTGGGGTGGGGGAGAGGGGCTTTCACACCACAAAGTCTCGCGAACGAAAAAGATAAGCACGAAACAATTTGGCGACCAAGAATAAATCGTCCATATCTTTTCGTACGAGCACGAGTGCAAAATGTTTACAAGAGGACGAAGACGTCCCATGAGTAACAGAGCAGCACAACCTCGAAACGAACAAACGCAGCACGGTGCTGCCGCGGTCAGAAAGCCGGGATATTCACATCCCATATCTAAGCGTCTACTTAAAAGTTACTGCACCACGTGGTATGGATATTTACATCGGCATCTAAGATTGTACTTCACGTAAGTGTCCGCTGCAACCCTCTAGCTGTTGTTGCGCGACAAACAATGAGAACAACCCGAAAACAAACAAAGGCGGCACGGCGCTGCCGAAAGGCGTACGAGTAAAGATGATAGGTTCCTCGAAATTAAAAACCCTTAAAAAATTGCTACAGCACAAGGCTGGGATATTTTCATGGACACCTAAGCGTTTAGTTGACCAAAACGTCCACTGCAATCCGGTACCTCATCAAAACGATAGCACAACTCGAACCGGCCGACTGGTAGATCAAGTGAGAATAAATTTGCACTTCTGCTTATGGCATTTCGAAAAGAAAACTACGTGTATTTTAACAACAGTGGTATCATTCAGCGCCTTGGAGTATGTCCACCGCAATCCTTAGTCGGATGTTTGGAATATCGCTTTGGGCTATCGGAAATGGTGGCGGACAGCCGCGTGCAAGAAATGAAGCGAAGGCGAGCATGAAAACACCGCAGCTCGACCCGTCCGATTGTTGAGGGACACCACGAACAACCATCTTGGGCTCCTGGAGATCCACTTTCGTTTTTGGACCATAATGACAAATTGCTTCGTCACGGAGGTATTGCGTGAAGTTCGCAATCACATCGGAAGAAAAACCGCCATGGTCTTGTACGAGGGAGTCGTAGTACTCCAGCCGTTGTTCTCGGAGACACAATAGGGTCCAATGCACTCCATGTTTATGGACAGGAATCAAGACCATCTCGTACGAGAAAATATCCACATCTTTTGTCTATCTCGCAAACCTATCATGTCGATAGCCGCCACGGACGAGCTTGGTATAGAAAAAGGGACTGAAAATGTAAAGAGAGGGACACCCAGGCAACACAGCGTTGGCAAGCAACGCCAAGTACGACTCCACCACCTCGTCGGAAAGCCATTCCCCCTCTGCTCAACGGATTGAACTTACCCCTTTGCGAACCGAGGACACCACCTCGTGGCCGTTGCTGAAATCTCCACAGACGTTCCACAACATTCTCAAGTCCGTAGCGCTAAGCTCCTAAGTAGGCAACGAAACGCGAAAACATGATGTAGCCCCAACTGCACAAATACCCACGAACAAGTGTGAGGAGTGATCAAAATCACCGGGGCGAAATGGTTAAGAACCGTCTGCCGTTTTCCCAGAAAAGTTGTATCCCCGGCATTTGAATGTGTCCTTGGCGATGTCCTTAGGACACGGGTCTTTCAAGATACCTCGTTTGGCATCGTCATCAGACCCATAAGACAACGCAGTAACGCTTTCAATAGACGCAGCCAAATGTTTCCGCAAACCTTCCTCCTTATCTATTCCACAAGCCTTCAGAACCCTGACAGCTCTTCGGGAAAGGCGAGGCATCTGGACCCTTTTAAGCAATCCTACACTTAACGACTTCTTCGGTAAAGTGGCCAATGACCTCCCTGAAAGACATTTCTTGCGCACGGCTTTTAAAGGCTTCATGGGCAGGGACATTGACAACCTCACACCTGTAAAACATAGAAAACAACCCACAACCCACAAGCTTTTTTTTAACAAGTGGTAATAGGTACATGAACCCATCACATCAATTTGGACGAACAAAGAGATGGCTAGTGACAGATATGCGAGTGCTCCTATTCACAAATCTTACCGTGGTCGGGAGCCCTTTCAGGGAACTCGCCCTCCTGTCGCGCCACTGCACCAACGTCCACAGACGATTTGAGGTTCTGCACCTCGGCCACGGCTGTGTCGCTAACCAGCTCGGTGGCAGCTGAGTTGCTTGGCAAGTCGATGGCTTCATGAAGCACAATTTCCCGACCGGTACTGAGGACAAATGCTCGATCACCCTGTTCTGCACCGCAACGGGTGGACGGACAATCATGATCTTTCCGCTCTGGATCCATCTTGATGCTGACGGCCACCTCACCGCCTTCCACGGAGGATTCGACGTTCTGCATCTTAGTCACGCTTGGGTCGCTAACCAGCTCGGTGGCACCCGAGTCGTCATCCAACTCTATGGCTTCATGAAGCACCATTCCCCGAGTGGTGCTTAGGACAGACGCTCGACCACCCTGTTCTTCACCGCAACGGGTGGTCGAAGAATCACCATCTTTCCATTGCGGATCCGTCTGGATGCCGACCGTCACCTCACCGCCTTCCACCACGGGTTCTCCGCCTTTCTCATCGCCATGAACCCGATCTTCCACCGTGGGTTCTTCTTCGTCTTCATCGTCGCCAAGAACGGGAGCTTGCACGAACGTCCACTGACCTCCCTTTACGACACCCTCTCGCGTCGTGGCCACAGCCGACTGACTATGCAGAACCTCTTCGGACGTCCCGATCACCAGCGCTCGAGTCTCCTCTTCCCGTTGTAGAGCATGCGTTTCCCCCGGAGCTCCTGCACTCTCGCTGTCAGTGTCCACGGACGCACCCTCCGAAGTATGACGTTCACACTCGCTACCCCCGGTCTCCAACACTTTGCGAGACTGCCAGCGTTGAGTCTCCTCTTCCCGATGTACAGCACGCGTCCCCAGGAGTATAACTTTCATACTCGCCACCCCTGGTCTCCAACACTCCTGCACCGGGCCCCTTCAACACGTCGCGAGACCGCCAGTCTCGAGTCTCAACACATGAGAACGGAGGCGAGCAGGGTAACCCTGTGTCCAACTGAAGATGCGGGGGGCAGGACGTCACATTTTCTTGGCCCCGCAGAACTGTTGCCTGATGAACACTTATGGCGGAGGGCGACGTCAGCAAATCCGAATGTATTCGGAGTTTGTGGCGGTCGCCCGAGCCGAGGGAACCGCACCTTCGCTCCTTCGCAATGTAGGCATCCCGCCCTCCAGGCAAAACGAAGACGCGCCCTCTTTCAGGAGCAAGGTGTTGAGCACAGGAGACCTCTGCTGCGCACGGCGGGATGGACTCTCCTCGGCAACGGGAAACAAAGTCCTCGCAGACAAGTGCGAATCTACTCGCACTTGATCAGACCTTTGGGTGGCTTGTCTCTCATGTCGGAATCTCGACTCCCTACGCAGTGGGGGTCAGTTTCCATATACTGGGGACTCCCGAACATTCTACGCTTTCCGCCCGACCCCTTCCCGCCCGACCCTTTTTCGCCCGAGTCCTTTCCGCCTGACCCCTTTCCGTCGGACGCCTTCTCTACCGACGATGTCTTGCCCGTCCCCTTTCCGGCAAACTGTGAGCCGTCTCCTCCGCCACCTCCGCCGTCTCCTTCGTCTCCTCCTCCACCCCCTCCCAGATGCTGACCGCCCGACGGAGGTTGTGGCATGCGCCAGTCAATGCCACGAGATGGTGCCGTTTCGAGTGTGTAGAAAGGCGCTCGAAACTCCAACATGTTGTTGGCGTACAACTCATTTAGCTTTTGTTCTGCATACACAACGACATCCGGATCGTTCCTCTCGGTGTTCATAAGATTCAAATGCTCCACCAGAGCAGGTCTCGCCGTTCTCTTAAATGCACCCGCTCCCAGTCTCTTCAGTCCACTCCACTTGCCATCGGCCTCCTTCATTGCCATGACCCACATTCCGTTCTTCACAGCAGGCTGGAATATCCTTGGGTGCCAGACGACGTTGTGTCCCCAGACATCCTCCGCCGTGAACCGGTGATGCTTGCCGAAGAAGTAGAGTCTGTCATTCTGCCAGGTGTCGTGGTTCTCAGGGAGCCTGTCACAAGGTTCATGATCATAGTCTCTCTCTTCGTCCCCGTCATCAGACGATTGGTCGTCGACTGGTTCGCCCGAAACACACGCTTCAAACCGGCAGGGGACGTGCTATATCTCCGAGGGCCACCTTCCCTCTTCATCACCAACCTGTCCAACCACCCGAGGAAGTGGCATGGACTCAAAATCGAAGGTTTCGGAGTCGCTCAACTCCTCCATGTCTTCAGCGTCGAAAGGGTCCTCCTCGTCAAAATGTGACTTATAGTTTTCGAGGGTGAGCGGTTCGGCCAGCGTGAAGTAAACGTGCTCCAGCCTTATCAGGAAATGCGAGACAGACTCCCTGGGTGCATCGTGGTACCCATTGAGCACACCGAACACCAGGTTTCTCCGTCGACTATATTCGAGGTCGGTCGGACCAAGCAGTCCGGGTTGGAAAAGGAAGTCCCAAACCTCCGTCCTTTTGTTCCCCGACAATTTCCAATACATGTCAGGTTTGGGATCCCAGTTTCGTTCGCCGGTGGTCTGGACAAACTCGCAAGCATTGCGAGTGTCTGCAACGCGTGTCTTCACAAACTCGTGAAGGTAATAGATCATCTTCGCCTCCTTCTCCAATGCGATGACGTTCCGACTGGTGCGCAGGAGTTCCCACACGGCCCTTCCCAAAGAAAAAAACAGTTTGCCCAGCTTTGCAAAAGTTTTCGAGTAGACCAAGTAGACGGGACGGGTTCCGCTCCATCTCCCCGTAAGCAGGTCCTTGAGAACTTGTCACGCCGCCGTCCTCCTACATGCTACGAGAGAACCTTTCCTCTTCCGCCACGTCGAAACACGCCACAGCCTGTCCTGATGGGTCCGACGAACAGACAACTTTCGAGAGGGCCGCCACCGTGTGTTTGGCCGGACTTGGACCATGAGCACAGGAAGCCTTTGTCGGGCTACTGGCCGGGTAGACTGCGAATGTGTTGTCTTCCAGCTTCTCGCCATTAAAAATCACGTACAGGCGGTCACACTCCTCAACCAAGATATTGCCTTCCCGGACAGTGGTCTGCTTTTGTGCATTGCGCACCCACTTCCCTGTCCTGACGTGATGAACGTTAAGCCTGGTCATGCCTTTCAAGAAACTGAGCTCCCAACGAGAGGGGAAAAAAATCACAAGTGCCCAGTGCGTTGGTGAAAGTGTTTGGAGAACGCCTTGCAAGTTGGGGAAATCGTCTTCTCGCCAGTCTGTGAGGAGTGTGGGATCACACAAATCGAGGACGTACAGGTTGCACACGTAATGTCGCACAACCTCACGGATCGCAGTGACATGACTGTGAGCTTGGGAAGGCGGGAAAGCGAAAGGAATAAGGCTGGTCACCCGGTTGAGGTCGGGCCATTTGATGTGCCTCACATCCCCGCTGACCCGGATCGTGTCTCAAACTTCTTCTTCCGTCCGTCGCAAGATGGAACGAACAGACTTTTCGAAAGATTTAGGGAACCTGTCGTCCTCGTACAATTTCTTCGCGTCGTCGAGGGACTCCTTCTCGTGCGGAAGAGTACGTTTGCAAGTGTTCACGTACTCCACCACGCCCTGGAAATGCTTTCGCATTTCGACCCACACCTGTTTCGTGAGGCCCTGCGGCCCGAACTCCTCCAAAAACCGCCCCTCGATCCGGAAAAAAGGGCTCCCGTAGCGCCAAACACGTTCGTCCTCCTCCGTTTCAAGGAACAAGATGTAGTGGAACATACGGAGCATCACACAGTCCACTTTCGTCGTCGCGACCATGTCTTTAATTCCAGGTTTATGCTGACGTTTCAGATGCCTGCCCGGGATTGCACGAACACTCCCCTTAGTGCGAGAATGTCGTCGAGGATCGACAGTTTCTCGACATCGGTCATGTCGGCGAGACACTGCCAACAGAACATGTCTGGCTCCTTCACGACCACGAAAAACTTATCGTCCGCTTGCGTTTTCTTTTTGGTCGGAGGCGACGGGACCCGGACCAGCCACCCCATCTTCGTTTCACCAGCCGCCCCTTTCAAGCCAATTTCCAGAATTGCTTGCAGACCCGGAGATTTGTCTGGCATGTATTTGCCCGGCCTCGACAATGACGTCTTGTCGTCGCCGCCCAACAACTTCCCCTCCGCCCATTTCGCATAGAACTCCATGGCTTTGCGGAAAACGTCATCACCGGTCGTCACGAGCGGCATCCACTGCCTCAATGCATTGCCAACGGCAGCGACATACTCCTTGTCGGCGAGCGACAAATCTTTTTTTGCCAACGACCAATGAGCTTTGTTCGGACTCTTTCCCAAAAGCAGCTTTTGGAATTTGAAGAACGCTCATTTTTCGGCCTCCTTGCCGGAAGGGTTCCCTTGAATGGCCACCGGCCTTCCTTCATTCTCGCATGCCTCCCGCATGTCCAAGAACGTGGCCTTCTGCGATCGCTGCTTAGACATCTTATGTCTCGTGTTCTCGTTGAGACTGACCTACCTATACCCCGCGAAATCTCGGTCGGAGAACCACACTACTCTCGCCAGCCACGAGTGCATCTTCCACAAATCGAATATTGACTCACCCTCCAACTCCTTCACAGCAGCCACGGTGTGTTGTCCGTTAACAAGGTAATAGTAGTACTTGTCCTTGTCCACTGGCTTGAAGACATCTTTGTGAACCCTGTCAGCTTTCTCCGGCCTACGCGTCACCGGCTTGTCGATGGTTGCCAAAACCAGAGGGTTTTTCGTCCAGATCTTCCCCTTTTTCTCGCGGAATTGACTAAGCATCGCATCCTTGATGTCGTCCACAGTTTCGCGATTTAGACTGCGGTGGTTGTAATATCTTTCCCAAGGCGGGATGTCGCAGACCTTCCTAGGGTCGATGAGCAGTTGGACGGGGAGCTCCTTCTCCACGATTTCACCGCCATCGTTCTGCTCGTATTCGAGCCAGAACGCTGCCGCTTCGTTGCACTCCTCACCGACAGGCCCTTCACCACCGCTCGCCGCCTCAGTAGTCTTCCGCCTTCGAGGTTTCTTCTCGCCATCGCCTTCTTCAGCTGCCACTTTCCGTTTCGATTTCCCCGAAGGTTCTCTCGCGTCCGCAGCGCCTGGATTAGCCGAATCTCCTCCACCCATGGCTTGTCATTCGTGGATGGTCAAACCGCCGGGCCTCCTCGCTTTCTTACTTGCCGTCTCACCCTCTTCCTTCGACGGCCTCTTTCCCGAGGTACGTTCTCCGACGTCACCTCCATCCCCGCCCATCACCGCCTCCGGTTTCCTCTCATCCTCTTCATGCGGAGGGTTCCCTCCGCCACCTCCTGTCGCACCATCCTCTGTCGCTCGCGCTTCTTCTCTGACGGAGTCGGCTCCCCGCCAGAGCTTTTGCGGACAGCGCCCATCCCTTCAGCCTCATTCCCTCCGACATCTTGCCCCGATCTGCCGGATTCTCTTCTCGTCTCATCTCGAAGCGAATACGTATCGCCGCCGCAGTGGACCTTGAGGAGTTTTGGAGTAACGACCCGTTGAGTCCCTGTACCCTGAGAATGCAAGTCCGATGTGTTCCCAGGAGCATCCGGGCCGACTTGCGTGCGAACGCTGCGCGCGAGCCCCTTGACCCGACCCCTAGCGTCGTGAATCGCACTCCCGCGCCCCACTGCCGTCCCTGGAGTTTCTTGATCCAAGCCGGACGACCCCTCATGGGGTGGCAGAAGCCTAAAAACATGTTCTCGCGGAAGAACCGGACGTTCTTTCGGCACCATCATCGTGAGCTCGAGATATTGCTCTGGCGATGGAAGACGCTTGCTGCCGCCATCGTAAAGGCCTTTGAAGTGAGAGCACAACGTCATGTTCGAGCCATACCCCGCGAAACTCTTGATGGTCACCAACAAACCCTTAACACCTCTGAGAGGCAGTCTGCACTCGTCGTACAAGCCGTTAGTTTGCAGCTTGAGCAAACCTTCAGGAGTCTTGGCGCACGAGATGATGGTACCGAGAGGAAGAACGTTGACCGCTCCCCCAACGTCTGGAACGCAAGTGGGTCGCATGAAAACAGTTGGCCCAAAAAGGTCCCCCTGAACAACGAAGTCCAAAAACCATTGTGCTCCCATTGCGTGCATATACTGAGGAGTAGATTGGTGAAGAGGTCGTCCCTCCCCGGGGGCAGATGGTCCAGCGCTTGTGGATGTGTTCTTTGCGGACGCCATTGTACTCCCACTCGTTGACTAACACGCCCAACCTCAGACCAACTCGGATGACTAACACGCCCAACCTCAGACCACTATAGAAGCGAAGTGTGAACTAACTCGGTCTTAACGAAATGGAGGACGAAAAGGACGTAAGAGATGGGTGTTCGAAATACACACGAAGTCACAACAATCGGGTGAAGGATAGGAAAGACAGCAGTCCTTTGGTAGAGTGAGTTCGGAAGGAAGACAACAGCTCCATGGAGAGAGTGCGAACGAGCTCGCTGTCGTAGAATCGATGAAGAGGTGATTTATCTTCAGGAAAGTGCGAACTAACTCGGAGTTTTGGGAATCAAGTCGTCTACAACAAGTATCGCATGGGTACCGACGTGCAGTTCTGGGCTGAAGGAAACCGAAGAATGATATTGGTGTTTGAAATGCAAACGGACACAAAACAATTGGGTGGCTGGCAGAGTGAGCTCGGAGGGAAGACGACAACTCTTCCGAAAGATTGCGACCCGACTCGCTGCCCTCGAAACGAGTAAGATGTGGTTTATCGACAAGTGCGAATGGTGTCGACAAGTGCGAACTAACTCGCAGTTCTGTAGACAAGACAACAATGGCAACCCGCATTACTAGGGGAAAGTGCGAAGTAACCCGGAATTGTGGAACTGAAGACCTAAAAGACGTACGAAACGAGTAAGATATGGTTTATCGACAAGTGCGAAGGGTGTCGACAAGTGCGAACTAACTCGCAGTTCTGCTGACAGGACAACAATTGCAACCCGAAGTACAAGGGGAAANTATCGACAAGTGCGAAGGGTGTCGACAAGTGCGAACTAACTCGCAGTTCTGCTGACAGGACAACAATTGCAACCCGAAGTACAAGGGGAAAGTACAAACTAACCCGGAATTGTGGAACAAAAGACCTGAAAACCGCATGGGATGGGTTATCAACTCCTCCAACAGTGTTGCTCAAAAAGTGTGAACTGACTCGCATTTGTGGAAATAAAGAATTGCCTTTAATGAAATATGTGTCTAACCTTGGGAAAGCTGCGAATTAACTCGCAGTTGTCACTCCTCAAACAATGTACGTCGCAAACTGGGAACTGACTCGCAATATCTCTCTCTCTATATATATGTATCTATATCTATATCTATCTATATATATATATATCAGGTCGGCGGCCTCACAAGGGACAGGTGAGCGAAAATTGGGAATTGATTCGGTGTTCAGTGTAGCAATATATCTATATATATATATGTATCGATATCTATATATACATATATATAGATATAGATATCAGGTCGGCGACCTCACAAGAGACAGGTGAGCAAAAATCGGGAATGGATTCGGTGTTCAGTGTAGAAACTTGGTATTGATTCGAGGTTCGCCATGCGCAGTGACGACTGCAAGTTGAGAAGGGGATCGAGCAACTTTATACAAACGTTATCGTGGCTATGGCGAAAGGTAATCGAGTTGCGGAACGCGGATCGGCTATGGCGGACGGAGGTGGAGGGTGGAGAAAAAACATCAGAACACGTCCACTGGCGAAACAACAAAACCGGGAATTGATTCGGGGTTCAACAGAACGCGGCTGTGGCATTTTATCCTGCGGGTAGAGACAGGGCATCTGGGAATCTGTTCGGACATCGGACACAGAATGGGACAACTGAAGTTATATAATTTTACCTTCGTCGTGCGACTATGGTGGAGGGATATCGAGCTAGGAAGAGCGAAGAGCGAAGAGCGAACTGAACACAATGTGGCAACTGCGGACGGAGCGAAGAGCGAAGAGTGAGCGGGCTATGGCGGAAGGTGGGGGGGGCTGGAGACCAAATATAAAAACACGCGCGGAAGCGATAGCGCGACTTGATCTGTGGAGCGACAACAAAAGGGATAACTCGAGGGCTGCATCACCTTTTATACTTTGCTGCAGTTGGCCTCGCGTCGGGATCAAGGTGGGGCCGAATCAATTCGTATATCGCACCCCTGGGCCCATAAAATGCCATCAAGGTGGGGCCAAATCGATTCGCATATCGCACCCCTGGGCCCATAAAACGCCAGAGCCTATAAACGGTAAGGGGTACCAAAAATTGTCATTCGCCGATCAACAATTTTCAACCGCACAGATGAACGGAGCCACTGACATGCCAGTGGCCCCAAAATCTCCGTCAACTCCGGCATGCAATGATGTGACAGTTCCTAAAACAAGGGGCAGACAATGTCATTTTCGCAGTTCTAATCTGGACCGTCAATCGGCATAATCCGACGCACGAGGTCAGGCGCAAGAATCTGTAAGGTGCGGCGATTCGTTGTGCGCCGAGGCGGTTCGTTGCGCGTCAAGGCCCATCGACGGTTTATTTCCCGCTGAGGCGCGGCGATTCGTTGTGCGCCGAGGTAAAAAACACCGAAAATCTATAAGTTCCGGTGTTGCTGTCATTCGGACATTTTGCAAATGTCAACGGCGTTGGATATCGATGCGCTTAGCTATGCACCATCGCCATCGATGCGCTTAGCTCATCGTCATCCCCAACGCTCGCCATGCACCATCGCCGTCGATGCGCTTAGCTCATCGCCATCGCGACGCAAAGCTATATCCCCCATCGCAGCCGTCGCGCTCGCCTGACCATCGCAGTCGTCGCGCTCGCCTGACCATCGCAGTGCTAACAATCGCCATCGCTCTCATCGTAGCGCTGGCCATCACTGCGCCATTGCAATGCTGGTTCCATAGCTGCGCCATCGTTATCGCTGCCATCGTAACGCTGGTTCCATCGCTGCGCCATCGTTATCGCTGCCACCGCAACGCTGGTTCCATCGCTGCGCCATCGTTCTTGCTGCCATCGCAACGCTGGTTCCATCGCTGCGCCATCGTTATCGCTGCCATCGCAACGCT